GTTGAATATAAAAGCACCTACATATAAATAGACCTTTGTATAGTTATAAATGAAAAAATAGCAGCATTGCAATTAAGTGTCTAATTACTGCGTACCTGGACTATGAGTCTCTAGCCAACTCGACATTCTTTTTTCATTACTGTCATACTGACTTTTAAGTTCCCAACTTATCAGAGAAGATCACTCTCTCTCTTTTTTTTTTCTTTTGAAGAAATCAGAGAATAAAACACCTAGAAGTTAAAAATTATCTTTTATTAATACTCCTCAGTCTTTATTTAATGTTCCTGTAATATTCATGCATGTGAATGGTGCTTTCACCTATGGTTTGTAGACGTAGTTTTAGCATTCCCCTGGGAAGTGAGCGGGCAAGGGCTACTTAAAACCAGTGCACCTCTAATGTTTCTCAACTCTGTATATGCTGCTGGTTTAGTGAAGTGCTGCCTAAAGCTCGAGGGCAAGGATACACCTTCAATGAATAAGTAAGTGCAGTAGGAGCCACGTGAGCTGGTAGGACTATGTGTGCATGGACATGGCATGAATGTCAGTGAGGTGCTTTGCAGGCAGACTAGCTCCTATCAGAGCAGAGCCACATGGACTTTTTTTTTTTAAAAAAGGACATGATTTCTGTTATTACACATTTTTTATACCTTATATAGACAGTAACTAGCATAAGTAAGACAATGAAAAAAAAAAAAGAATTACCAGGCATGCCAATTAACTTAATTTTCTCATGTTCTAATGAGATAACTTGCTGCTCTAACAGCACTGCCCAAAAATTGTCTACTCTCAGTGATCTTTTCTTACAGATATAAAAATACCATTTCCATGTGCTCCCATGTTGAGACAAGATTTCCAAATTGGAAAGGAATTCAGCCCCTAATATGCTTGTTCTCTGCATTATTCAATTGAACAGACTTCAGAAAATCAGTTTAGATTTTCTTCCTGTCTTTATGGATTATTTTTCTTTTTACTGAGTTGGTTTGTTTTCTTGCTTTTATAACTTTACAAAATTTCATTTCCATGAAGTGTTTCAAAACTTCCTGTTATAACTTTACAGAGGTCATGCTTGCATGTGCTTTATATAATTTAGAAATAAAATTACGTGTCATGTATAAACTTCCTTTATAACAGTAGCTTTGTATACTTTTCAGGTCTATTTGCTTTCATTTGGTTCATTTGCCTTTTTTTTTTTTTTTTTTTTTCAAGGTAGACGTTCTAGGCTTTGGTCAACTATTTTGCATGTTTCTCAGTTGATATTGCAGAGAACTGAGCTATATACACCTGCATGTATCATTCACCTGACTTGCATTTAGTATTTGCTTAACTTGTGATTGGTAGAGTTGTCTATTTCAACACTTGTAATTATTGTAGATTTCACAGCAAAACTTCTGGAAGTTTTACTCATGTTAAATAGACTTACTCATGTGAAAAACTGCATTAATTAAATGACTGAGGCAGCACTCCCAAAATCCACTGAAAACAGTTCATTTTTTTCTTTTTTATTTATTTTCTACAGTGCTGTAATAATCAGCACAGAAAAATGATAGCCCCTTCACATTTAGGTGAACTAGCTTATGAGGAATAACTTGAACTCAGAAGGGCAGTCAAATAAATTTATTTGTCATGTGTTTGAGAGATTTTCTACTAATTATTAAAAATAATAATAAAAAAATAGGAGTATACAGTGCATTGCACACGATTGGCAGCATTTTAAAGGTTTCAGAGCTGAGAATGAATCTTAATGTAATCCACACAAAATCAGAGACAGGGAGCATGAGATGGCTATTAAGACCAAGAACAGGTAATAGGAAACAAGTGAAAATGAGGCTATTAAAGGAGAGAATACAGTATTGATGTTCAGAGGCAGATGATTTATTAAGAAAAGAAAGTAATTATATGGAAGGTTTAGTTTTTAATGGGCAAATTGGGTTATAGACTTGAAAATTGTTAGCATATTCTACTATTATTATTATTACAGTACAACATTACTCTTACTACAGTTGTTACTATACGGAAACAACTGATATGCATCTAAAGAGAACAGATGTGATTTATTCATCAGTCACTTGACAGATGCCACGGGATCAATCATACACTAGATAAAGCGCTGAACAAATGCTTTTTTTCTCCATTTGGACTCTTTAGATTATACTATCTCAGTATTGCATGTTGGTGAATTGGAAGTCTTCTAGAACTATAAATAAGTATAGCTTATTTCATCTGTGATGCTTCTTGTATGCAGATGAATGAAGATCCATATTTTAATGACTCCTTTTCCATCACTGATCTGTTTCCAAAATCAAGTGTCTTTAATTTATGATTTTTGTTTCTAACTTAGTATACAAGACCACAGTCTGTTAGGTATACTTGAGATGAGCATAAGCCTTAGAAATTAGGCATTTAAGACCTATCAATATCAGGGCACTGGAGAAACACAGGCTGTTAGGAGGTGCTTAGGCACCTCCAGCACATGGCTGTGAGGAGGAAAGGCAGCAAAGGCAGCTGCTGCATGGAGGATCTGGTTTCCCATCCCATTCCACACAGCTGCATGCATGTGCACCTTCACATGGGTCAGCAAATTGGGAACACTCACTGATATTTCCCTCCTTGCTTTCTCTGTTGTCACACACAACACGAGCATTCAAGACTCAGTTTTCTCATTTAGAAACACAGCGGAAGAAAAGCTGTGCTGGGCATCAGTTGTCTTTCCTGCTCAGAAACTCATCTGCTGCAGCACCTGATTCTAAGCAAGGAGACAACCCCTCCTGTCCTCAGTTTGCTGCTCTCAGTAGGCTCCTCTCTGAGGGGTAAAATGCTGTGGGTTGGATGGAAAAGATGAAGACATTATGGGATGGGTGATTCCATTAGACCCCCTTGCTCTGGTAACTTTCCCCTCTCTCCAACGTGCCAAAGCATTTTAAATTGTGTAACACATGAGGATCTCACATATCATGTGTTCTGTGCAGGGAGAACACAGAAAATGTAGCTCACAACACTGGTAATTACCAACTATTGGCAGTCTTTTAACAGTATCTATTTGTACTTGCAAGCTGGTGCAAGTAGGACATAGTTAACCTAGCTGTTAGGTTTATATATCTTGCACAAATGGGCTTGCAAAAAGTCGGTGCTGAAGGCTCTAAGAGATTTACCAGTATTTCATCATGATTTCCACGGCGAGTGCCCTGTCTATCAGCTTTTCATAAAATCATAGAATCATAGAATGGTTAAGGTTGGAAGGGACCTCTAGAGGTCATCTAGTCCAACCCCCCTGCACACGCAGGGTCACCTAGAGCACGTGGCACAGGGTGGCATCCAGGCGGGGTTTGAAGATCTCCAGAGAAGGAGACTCCACAACCTCTCTGGGCAGTCTTCTTTCTAAAGAAGGTTTACTGCCAATTGTGTCTTTTTAAAATTTATTTTATTATTATTTTCTGTTCTGTAAAATACAATAATTTCATTATTTGGATTTTTTTTTCCAATTTCTCTTAAAAAAATCCTCAAATGCCAACCATGTATTTATCCCTCAGTCATTGTCAGCAGCACATAGCAATAATTTAACAGAAAAAAAGCTACATTAATCAATTGTTAATTTTTTTTTTCTGTGAAATTAGCAAAGTTTTAAATTGTATGTAAACTAAAGTGTTAAGAAGATATTTGGTGTATTTGCAATCCAGACTTGGAGAATAATAATTTTATGAACTAACTGCGTCAAATTTATCACAAGACTTTCATATGATTGCAAAAGTACCCCCAAAAATGTAGTAAATGAGTTAGCACTAGAAATGTAGTGAAGTCCAGAAGCAGAAATGTGACATGATGTCTGGGGAGAGTTTTTTCTTTAGTTTTGTTTTTTAAGGAATGGTAACTGCATTTCTGTTCTGAATGTCATCCCTTCTGGGGATTAGTGGGAGAAGCAATCTCTATCCATGAACAGCTGAGTCTAAATGTATTGGTACTGCTCAACTAAGCACACATTGTGCAAGCAAAGTGCAGTATGACTGTATGGTAATTTTGCTTCCTTTAATCAAAAAAAAAAAATCAATTAAGTGAACTGGATTCTGCTAGAATCTCAAGTAAGCAAGAATTCTTTTGATTCTGCAGCTGACTTGCTTGCCATAATAATCAGTTCAGAAACAGAATGATAAGCTCATGAGCTGAAGTTACTTGTCAGTTCTACTGCTTAATATATGAAAATTTTGCCATTAGTGCATTAGGAAATATTTGAACCTACAGTAAAACTTTCACTGGCTTCAACAGGCTACAAATTTAGTGCCTAAGTAGTATCATTTAACTGCACAAATAACTCTATCATCTACCTTTTATTTTTTGTCATGTATGACACAGCTTAAAATGAATGAGTATCATTTCTTAATGATATTCTATTATAAAAGATCAAACAGATTTTGATTTGTAAATTAAAGTATCTAGCTGTCTTTAAAAATACTTCTGCTGTTTTGTGAGGACTGAGTTTTACAAGTTCCCTTTAAAATTGTCATTGTTTCAATTGGTTCAATCAAATAGGAAGAAGTAACAGCAGGAAAAAAGTGCTGATGTAGCTGTATGCCAGTAAATAAATAAAAAAATACGCCATGATTAGAGTGATCTTTATCTTCTATATACTCTTCTTTTTCAAGGTAGCTGTTGAATTAATGACATTAGGTACTTCTTAAATGAAAGTGTTTCTTTAAAAATAAATGGAGCAAAGAGTTTCTCCTTGTGTAGTCCCTTCTTTCCTTTGAACGTTCGTGTTTCTGTGTGTGTTTGTGGTTTGGTTTGGTTTAGATTATAAACTTGAATACAAGAGGGGTGTTCAATCCTGTGTTAAGTAGTTCTGTTTTTGGTCAAAGATATTTTAATCATTTAAATGCTGATGAATATAAATTATAGCAGATTCATAAAACAAATTTTATGTATTTTGTATGTAAATTATAAGATGCACAAGACTTTCATATGATTGCAAAAGTGTCCCCAAAAATGTAGTAAACTTTGTGTTTTTGCAGTCAAGACTTGTGGATCCAGTCTTCAGGGTCCTGGAGGCACTTTCACATCACCTAATTTTCCATTCCAATATGACAGCAATGCTCAGTGTGTGTGGGTCATCACAGCTATCAATACTAATAAGGTAAGTTAAAAATTTTTGATTTTGCTTTAAAAAACATAAAAACTTATATGGAGTTTTTATAGGTTTTATACATTTATATACTCTAATGGCTTTATTGCTCAATAGCTCATATTTATTATTTGTATGATTTATTTATTACATTGCAGAAATTTCTATGAAATGACCAATATTACATACTTTCTTCTGAGCTTATTTTGATTTGTGTATGTCAAGTAGATGTCAGCATGCTTTTATGTGTAAATTGATTCCCAGAAGCAAATACTTGATGATATGAAATAAAGTCATGGGTCCAGTTATAGTGTGTATAATCACTTGGGATGCACTGTGTCTAAGACTTTACATGGAGTTTGGCCCTAGTGAGAAATTACTGAAGTTTATGGATTCACTTGTAGTTCATGAACAACGGTTCTAAAGTTTATTTGTAATTTATTTCTCTGAGCCCCTGTATTAAAATATCATGCATTTTATACCTATAATTTAAGCCAAAAACACTTGTAGTTCTGACAATCCTGGATGAATCAAAATAAAGAAATGCTAAATTATGAAAACAGTAGTACTTGAATTCAAAAGCTAGGCACCTGACACCAACAGCTGCATTCTGTTTCCAGTTGTACACTTCAGATGAGCTGAATGTAATGGATTTCTTTAGAGGTAATAAAAAAGAAATTAGCTGTGCAGCTTGGGAGTATTTTACAAATGCCGATGCATATCTGGGTTTGCTGCTGTAGTGGTGTATTCTGCCTCCTAATATTTTCTGTCTTATATTGCCATCGATATCACACTTCACAAATTGACCAGAGAGACCTTAAAAGATTATCAGTTTGAACCTGAATAGTTTAAAAAGCATAAAGTTACAGGTCCTGGTGAAAGTCTAATTCCATTTCAGAAGCCATTTGGTGACACTGCACCATTTCTGCATCAAGCCTTATAAAGTCCTTGTGGAAAATATTATCTCCAAATTATGGATCATTGGAAAGGTTGCAAAGAGGCTTGTTTTTCTTATTCTTAAAACTCTTCAGAGATCCAGTTATTTCACCTGTATAAATTCTAGTACAAAGTAAACATTTTTATCAGAGGTCCTGAGGTTGTGGGATATTTGAAAAGAAAGGTTAAATAATCAAAATATTTCTGTATTTAATTTTTTTTATTAGAAACTCTTCTGAAACTGTGAATACTGCAATAGTAGCATATCAGAATAGCACAAAGACTGTTCTAGTCCGTGGGTGATAAAAATATGTAAGCGTACACTCAGCTTTAAACTTCTGAGTTGTCCTGGTCTCATTCAGCATTTTATTTGATTACTACTTAGTATATACCTATCTGTGCCTAAATGCCAAGAAAGGGCTGTAGATATAATTAGAGTGAAAGATACAGTTAAGAATGGCTCATATAAGTATTAGTTTTTAAGTAAGGCTATATCAAGAATATTTGCTAAGGCACGGTCAGCACCAAATTATGTCTAGAATAAAAATATAAAGAAGAAAAAAAAAGTCCAAGATATTGGTAACAATGTAATTTCTATTTCAAAATATGATTTGTTAGAGACTATCTCTGCACCTCTGTGATACACTACTGAAGGCATTAGACTGAAAAAATCTTAGATTCATTTTGAGAAAATTTATACAAGGAGTTAGCCTGTTTCTGACTGACTTGTTTATAATAACATTTTTTGGACAATAATTATATCTCTTTGGTATTGCAGTGGAATTGCAGACTCAAAGATAGTTACAGAATTTCTGAAATAATGGATAGATAAAAGTTTTATATGTTTTCTAAGAAATAAGTTTCTGACCTGGGCTATCAGTATAAAATATAGTTACCACTGATGAAAACAACCTAGACATGCTAAAGAAACTGACGTTGAGTTCTTAAAAAAAAAACACCACCACCACCAAAACATTAAGGTGATACAATTTTTATAGTTCTGTCAGCTTATTTTTAACATCTATTGAAGAATCTGTATGCATAATTTTTTACTGGCACAATCATCGGTTTAATGTGTTCAGTATAGATTACTGCTGAGCCTTAGTCTCCCCAACAAAATTGTACTTGCCTTGCATGACTGCTAAAAAGACACTACTTCTTATATTTGAGATCTTTTCCAGTCTTAAATCAAAAATACCAAAGACATAATGAAGGTTAGTAATTAGTATTTATTTATAATGACAATAACAAATTATGTCATGGTGCTTATTATAACACATCAATATTTGTATTTTATACCAAGGCCATAAGAACCATAAGGGCTTGTTGAACTTTAAACCTTTCAGAGCTGTTTCTGTTACATCATTTACAATTAAGTAGTTTAAAAAGAGAGAATATTCTAAGTCAGAAAGTAATAGACGAAAAAGAACTCGTCTGGAAATTCAGCTCTGAACAGATGTTGTTCCCACTGTCTTTGTGCCTAAGCCAGGACTGAATCTGGTCAGATTTCTACCCTGGCTGGATTCAGCATTATCGGTTCGGTATCAATATAGATAAAAAAAGATAAATATCTTTGGTCCCAGTCAACCATCTGTCTCCTTAGCTTTTCGCTGTGTTGCAGTTTTCTTGTGCCTTCCTCTGTTAACCAAATGTACCAATTGCTCCCAATTCCTGTTAGCAGTGGACTAATACTGCGCTTCTGATATCCAGAGAGCAATACGGGTTCATTCTTGGGTATGGAGGAAAGGAATTGAAGTCTTTGAAAAGAACATCTAATTTCTTTCAGGCTGCACTGTCATATGTTTTATAATCTCTGTATATGGAAAAGCAATTCCTCAAGAAATTGTCTTTCTGTTTTAGTAGAAATGTTGGAGTTAATTAATCCTCTGGCAAATATTTTAAATGTGGCTAGAGAGGACAATTACTTTATTAGCAGATTTTGTTTGAGAAGAAAAAAAAAAAATTAAATGAAGCAAAGCCCATGTGGTTGTCACATGGCCTTCTTGTACATTTTTGCATGATCATTCTTATCAGTGAGGTTCATTTGCTCACAAGAAAATAATTAAAGCTATCCTTAGAAAGAAATCTATGATATAACAAAGCTTTGAATCCAGTGGAAAAAAAAGAATATGAGGTCCATAATTTTGAAACAGAAGTTTTTCCATAGTTATCCATCAGATACCCTGCATAATTTAAAATGTGTGTATTTTCTAAAAGAAAGGGTTTCTAAATGTTTGCAACTGCTGCTGTTGTAAGGAAAATGTTTATATTCTGGATAAATTTTAAATATTTCAGGACAGATGCATATACCTAATTTCCATATAGGATATAATTATATTTTCACTCATTTCTAAAGTATTAACCTTGTAAGAATGTTTTACCCAAATATATTAAAAAAAAAAAAAGGGGGGGAAATTGGTGGTGACCTGATGTTGGTTTCTGTTTGGTTGTGGCTGTGGAAAATCAAAGAGTAAAACTATAAAACCTGCCCTAAAAATAACAGCAGAAAAAGGATATGACACAAGCATGTCAGAAGAACATCAATATTCAGAACGGCAGTCAGGATAAATTGTTGAAATCAAAAATGGATTGGAATTCATACTGCTACATTCACAGAAATACCCCAGTTGATCTCATCAGGTCAGTGCCAAGAATGGATTTCTATTCTGACTAAAGAAGTTGCCTGAAGTAAGAAGGAAGGTAATCTGGCTATATGTCTTAAAGGAAGTGGTAAAACACTGCTCTGGAAGGAAAGTCCTTGAACTTTCTAGCTTTACTGTATTTGCTTTGTTTTTCTTTTGTTATTGATATAAAATATGTTGAAATTAGCACAGACAGAACTTTCCCAATCTCTGTGTATCTGTAGCTCTCAAAAATAAAATCTTTTTTTCTAAAATCTTCTCTGACAGCTCCTCCATAAAATTTCTTATAAAAGAAAATTGGATTTTTTTACTTGAATTAAAGACAAAAATGTTCTCTGTGTTAAAAACATCACTTTCAAAATATACACTGAAATGAATCCAATTAATCTTCTTACTTAAGAGATTGCATTAAAAAATCTTTAGGCTGTCCATATTTATTTTGACAGAGTCACTGCAAAAAGACTTTTCTTTGGATGTCAAATATCTGTTAGGAAATCCCTGATTTGAATTTTATAGCCACGGCTGGGCCTGCCTGCAATGTGACATCTGTTTCCTACCTGTTTCTGATGATACCTGCACTTCCCTTTCCCAGAAACTGCTGAAATAGTTTTAAGCATCAGGGAAACTCCTCACATGATATCCAATGAAAGGCTAAAGAGGTTTATTGAGGAAGTTATTTGTAATTCTGAATATATTTATATAAAATATGTCTCTCATTTTACTATATTTAGGCATTTATATATTAATATTTTTGTTCTTTTCCTCCTCTTTCTCTACCTCCAGATGTTGTTATTCTCCATTATGCTGCCCCCACTCCTTCCCTTCTTATTTCCTCTTTTTGCTACTGAGTTCCTGTGTCTTTTAGGCCACTCTAAGGAGTATGTGAAACAAATTCAGGAAAACCTGAATGCTCACCTTTAATTTTTTTAGAGTTGTGTTATCTCATCAGTGATGGCAAAACTGCCAGCGAGGCATTTTGTGCACTTGCTGTTAAGCCTAAATCCAGTGGCCACAAAGATTGATACATATGAACAGTATAAAGCTCAAATAGGCCAGATATCTCATGAGCTCTGTTTTGTTTAGGCCTTTCGGGAGAAAGCTTAGAACTCATTTTACAGATATCCCAGGCCTGGTGCTTCTTAAGCACCTGTGTAAGCACCTACTGCAGGTGTTATATAATTAGAAAATATGGGCATTCTTAAGCATACACTAAACATAAAATACTTCAAGCATAATCTTGGTTTTCATCCATGTTATTCACATATTAAATGAGCACTACATTTATCAATAGAAAATAGGTGGCATTTCATTGACATTATTTTTTTTCTGTTCTGCTCAGAAGTCATTCGGTTTCTCCGTAGTGTTAGCGGCAATATTGTTTAGCAACATTTTGATCCTGTGAAAAAAGCTGAGTGATGATACACTGCAGTTCTA